TTCCACAAATCTAATTGATAGGAACTATAAATTATAGATTCATATATTCTACTTAAAAAGATGATAAAGAAAATAACATAAATGAGTCTGCCTTATTTATCTACAACCTAATATTTGGGAATCCTTAATTATAAATCAAAATTCAAATCCAATCTCGAAATTACTACATTCCATTGGCCAAGCTATTAAGGATAAACAAAGAGGGGGAATTACTTTGACACAAAAGAAAAGAGAAATTTGACCAGTCAATAAATTTATTAAATGTTCAATTTTTGTTAGCCGATGGGAGAGAATGAATCTAATTCAAGCAGAACATAAAAAATTACAGATTAACTTGAAAAATCTCAAGATAAGATGTAGAGATGAAAGGAGATGGTGTGTTCCATCACAAATTGATTGCACTTAAAAAACAGAAAGAAAAGAAATGTAATCTCATTGTAACTTTGTCAAGCAAATTAGTCATTAACCGATTGTGAACAAAAGCTTAAACTTCATTTCTAGAGCACAGGATAGAGTCTCTACTTGAAATCATTGGAGCTCATACTAAATGTTAATCCATCTCAAATGTATTGAGAACTAAATAAACTTCAGAGGCTTACGCTCGCAGTCCATGAGCATAAAGTTAAACTGAAGCTCTAAAAGGAGGGCGCTCATTTGCAACGTATGCTTTGGCGACCTCAATTTCCTGCCTTCTAGGAAATGGTTGACAACCTTTGATCATCTGTGGACCGATATTGATAGGGAAAAAGAAAGGCACCAAACCAACTTTGTAATTGACTCTAAAAGAAGAAACCCATTTACCTATGAGGAAAAATCTTACAGTAACGATGAGTTTTCTTTATCTTTACTTCAAATAGTAGTAGTAGGAAAGGCAATGGAGGAGGGTGGTATCTTGTAAGTATCTTGCACTATAGTTTATCCCAGGGAAGCAATTTATTTCAAATTTGTTAAATGCTAGAGTCTTCTTTTTACCCATTGAGAATTGTGTTTCTAGAACTATTTTAGTAGTTGTTGCTCATAGGGCTTAATGCTTTAAATATGTACACAATGTAGATAACATTTTTACCTTCTATTAATTTCTAATAGTCCACTTCTCTCGAAGTACTGATCACATGCTTTTTATCTGGTCTAAGAATAAAGATATCACTGGTTAGTTTGTATGTGTATTTGTAACTTCTTACAGGATATGCCTACTTGTGATCTCACTTTACCTAATCTTCTTAAGATTCAACAATCAGTTTACTCAGTTGACAACGTCAGCTTAGAATATTCTATGTAATAAAAGATTGATTTTCTGAAAGATGTTGGTTTCTTTGAAGAAGAGCTTCATTTTTATATTATTCACTTCCTTCCTTTGAAGTGGACGAGAAAAATCTAGGTACTATCAAAAGCATACATATGGAGGGTAAGCTTCTAGATTTTGAAAATATTGAACCTCAATATTGGACATAACTACATGTAGTATTGAGTTATGTTAAGGAGTTTTTGAATTCTATAGAGTTTGAGTTAATGAAATATCTATTAGAGCATTCTTTAGCAGAACAATGCCTTGAAGTTAAGTTACACTGCTCAAATTCCTCATTGCAAATGGACACTTAAGTGTCAACGTTCCATTAAGGAAAATAGCTGTTAACGAAGAATTTTGTGAGTAAGTTAGATTGAGAGTTAAATCGAAGAATGTAAATAGTTGTTTGTGCTTTAACAAAATATTCAATACTAGGGTTCTTTATTATTAAGCATATGTGATTCCTATCATGTACCTTTTATTTCCATGTACGCATGCGCATATATTATGATGTATATACAACAATAAAAACATGCAAGCACACAGGTTTATGCATCTGATGTCTTCACTTGGTTCTTTTACATAATATTAAAGTCATTTCTTTTTACAGTCTCTGCATTTTTCCTTGGTTATCTTTTTATTTATTTTGTTCCTGGGTATGTTTTGTCTTACATAAGTTTCATTGGAGGGAGGAGATTTACTATAGATAATCCAAAAGAAGACAATATCAAAGCTATCTATTATTTTCTATCTTTAAAATAAACCTGCTACTAGAGCTATGTTTTATTTAGTGTGTAAAATTCAAGATGTTGAAAAAAATTGCATTTGGCATAGTAATGCACATGATAAGTTGACACTAACAAATCTATGTAGAAGTTCCTTTGACAAGTTCTCCCACTTCCTTTTACAAGTTCCCCATTTCCTTTGTTTTTTGTTTTGTTTTTTTGTTTATGTGCTATCTGAGATATATCATTCGGGCTGTTTGGATTGCTTACATTTGTTAAACGGCAATAGCATGTGATCCTGATAATAGAACTACATTAATACATAATTTATACTTACTAGAAGAAAAAATGTATTTATTTATATATTATATTGTTATATAGTACAAGAGGAAGGATTATTTTAAGATTTTATTGATTTTCTTTTTATCATTCCTCCTTTCAGGATCATTGTCAGCTTCAATCATACTATTTCAAAACCCCGATTTCTTGTAATCATGTTGGCAGGTAATAAACATTCTTATTTTCAAAATTTTCCCCTTTTTATGTTTTTATATGTTAACTTTTCTAATTTTCTTTTTCTATTTTTACAGAAAATTGACCGTGTAGATTATTTGCATTATTTTTTTGCTTCAATATATAATTTATGATATTATATATTCTTTTCATTTAGTCTTTCCTTGTTCGTTTGTGTTCTTAA